GGGTGGCAGCTGAGATGTGAGACGTGATTTCGGTTTCATTCTCTGACCCGGCGGTCCAGCCTTGTGAGTTTATGGCTATTGACTCCGCTCCGCTCCGCACGCACGGCACCGGGCCGGGCCGGGCCGGGGGGAGAGGGAGATGGGGCTCAGCACTGCCAGGGCACCCGGCGTGGTGATGTCACATGGCTCCTTTATTTCCATCAGTAAGGCCACAAGCAGAAAACCATGGTTAGCTCACAGTGTAAGAAACAAAATGCAAAGTGTAAAACTACCATTTACAAGGTATTGTGATAATAATAGAAAAATATCTAATCACACAATCTCCCGTGAGACAAATATTAGCCCAGTTCTACTGAGACATAATCTATTTTATAAAATACAAACCTTTACAAATTCAGCACATCCCTTACTAATTTCTCCATTTATACATGTGTATCTGGCTCACTATAGGATTATAATATTTAAAAAGTTTTTTTTAGTTATATATTCGTTTTCTGTAAACACATGAACAGAAAAGTAAACGGCAATGCCCATCAAATACAGCTACAGCTTAAGATTCCAAACAGAAACAATGATGTCCTATAACACAAACATCAAACAGGAGTGAACATAAACGTACAATACAATCTTTGAACAGTAGATCTCCATTCCTCTCAGTATTTTCTGGAAAAATAAATCATCTGAAGAAAAGAATAATGGAAAACATAATAATATTGCTGAAAAAAGATTTGTACAGCATATTGCAACTGAGAGGAAATACACAGCTTCTGCTTCGATCAGATTCATCTTGTTTAAGAAGAGCAGAAATGGACAAAATCACAGAAAAAAGAAACAGTGATGTACACTCTGAAAGAGCTTCCAGAACAATCCATCATGTTCTCTTCTTATGTTTCTCAAAAAGTTTAATAAAATATGGTCTCCTGTTCAACTCCTCACTATAAAAACTGAACCCGGGTCATAGGGGGATGATTCAGCTGAAGAAAGACTGCCCTGAGGTATTTTGGGAAATGTAGTACTACTAATGTAGTACATTGACCAGTGCTGGCTTGAGGCAGGCAGATCTTCAGTGGATGGTAGCTGAAGGCGATCATCTTCGGGAGTGCATTTTGTTGATGCTCTGTCCATCCAGAAACACTGCCCCCATCCTGTCATCCTGACGATGACCCAAAGTATCTGGCATGAAGATTGGAGCTGGACTCGCTGGCGCCGTCCTGGAGGCACGAAGGTGCGCCTCCATCTCCTCCATCCAGGCTGTGCTCCAGTTCCACACTGGAAGGGGATCAAGATCCCCGAAACACTCCCTCGTAGGGAAGAAGGAGCTCAGGGGAGAGGCAGAAGGCGAGAACTCTGCATTCGCAAAAATACGGGGGAAAAAAAACGAGTCGTAAAAATGTTTCAAAACACAGAGTCTGAATAATGCATGAGTTGATAATTATATTCTCTCTGCTAGTTTGTCTCTTGTCAGCTCGCTTCTGCAACACTAGTTCTGTAATCCTTTAGCCGTTTAAATCTAATTGGCAGAGACAGTTCACGCCCGAATCCTTCAGGAATCTCTAAAAGCCTGCATCTAGGGGTCGTTTTTTTTTTTTTGTTTTTTTAAGGTTGGATACTTACTCTCCCAGTCAAGACAAAAACAACCACAGTGTAATTAACAGCGACTATTTTCGTTTGCCTGCCTTCACTGAGCTGTAAGTTTTTTTTTTGCCAGTGAAGGACAAACATGTAAATAGGACAGAACTTTGCCCCGGACAGATAGAGGTGCTGCGTCAAGCTGGCACTGCAGAGACATGATTGATTAGGAGACGCTATCTGAGACAGAGGCGGCTGGGGCGGATCAATTTGCTGAGAGCCGCTGAGTGATGCCTTACCCCACGCCCCCTGTCTGTCAGAGCGACAATGTGCCAGAAGATAGAGTGTGACCTCAATCAGACGACTTTCCCCCCGTGGGTCTCTGTCACGGACCAAACAAGTACCCAGCTCTCCCGCCTCGGTCAAATAGGCCAGACACCCCGGAACGACCCGCCAGGCCCAGATGGTGTCGGGCCATCGCTCCGTCATGTCTGGTGGGGTAATTCACCCAGAGCCCTCTGTTTTTCAGAGAAAGACCCCACCAGGTATCCTTCGACAGTGACATCGGCATGGTGTTTGGATTAGACCCCAGCCGCTTCTATGATTTAGTGTTACGTAGACTCAAACACACAAATAACACACATTCACACATGGGCACACTCTCTTACATGCAAATGTGATGTTTCAAAAGCATAACTAGGCAATTGGTGACTTGTAAAAGTAGCTGGACTCAAACCTAACTGATGCATGAAATAAATCGGCCCAAGTAGAGCCCGAATATGCCGGCGAGTTGGGGTCCCCTGGTGGTCCGTTGGACCCCATCGGGCCCCGTTGAGCTTAAAGACCTGTAGTTCGGTTACCAAAGATGGCCTGGAGCTGCCCTACATAGGCACAGTTGGATTGGTATGCCAAAGCTGGAGTGAAATATGATTATTCATGCGTACGTAGGGAGAGGAGCGAGTGTGAAAGGACAGAGGGTCCGGCAGCGACAGCCGGCCCAGAGCAGGGCCAGAGGGCGTCCTCTGGAGTCTACAAAACCCGCTAAATATTTGAACCCCTTAAGTAGCATCTCAGAAGACAGGAATTTTTTTGAACACTTTTTTGAAAGTTTGGATATGAGCTCCTCTGGGAAGGTGTGAAGCAGAGCAAGAATAAATGCAAGCACAAAAATTCTCACGTCTGTCTGGCGCCTAAGCGCTCGGAGTGAGTCTGTCCACTGTAGCTATGCTCTGTATTTATTTATCAGATTTGAAATGAATATGAAAAACAATGTAACAATAAGGAAAAGTCATTTAAAAGTTGCTATATCATTAATTTAAAAAGTCATCTGTAAAGTAAAGACAAAAAAACTAAAAACGGAATGCTCCATTCATCTTAGTCTGATTGTTACCACCGTCAAATATGGTAAAATAAGCTCAAAATGATAAAAAATGTTCTGATCAATGGCTGCCACCTAGTGGTCATAGTGTCACTGTCGAGTAGTGATGCGCGGGTCGTCCCGTAAGCCGCGGGTGACCCGCGGCTGCGGGCGGTTTTAGGGCAGACATTTTTTAAATATCGCGGGTGCGGGCGGGTCAAAAAGTTACAAAACGCATTTCATTATCGATCAAAACGTGTTGTAAACGGGGTTGGCGTATAAATGCAGTCAGCGTGTATTTTTCAATTTTGGAGTTTTCAATTTGTAGGATAAGCTACTAGTTTGGTGAAATATCACGGTTAAGTATGATCTGCTGTACTTCATTTTAGACAAAATTAAGTTAAAAGAAGACCCAAGTTCTACTAAGTTCATTAAAATCTGATAGAGTTCTCAGATCTGATGTTACAGTTTTGACAACTAGTGTGTTTTGCATACATGCGCGCTTGTGTGTGTTTGTGTGTGTGCGAGAGAGATGTCTTTCCTGCAATTTTCCGCAACCCTTCAATAAATAACGACGTAAAAATCGATCTTTCGGTTTCTTTTTTGTTGTTTGGTACACAGTTAATCTTGCATAAAATTGTATCAGCATCTTCAATCAATGTACCCGCGGTCATGGAAAACCTGGAAAAGTTTTGTAATTTTGAAATAATTTTTCCAGGCCCTGGATAAATTTTCGAATTCTTCGATAGAGATGAAAAGTCATTCAAAGGTTTTGGAAACTAGCCTTGTTCATTTTTGTTTCCCGCTTCGTTCCGCAACACGCTAACAAATGTACGAGTAGAAGTAAATACTTTATTTAATAAAAAGGGCAGGCAGGAAAACACGGACTAAATACAGAGGACTAATGACAACAACCAGAAACAGCAGATCACACGGGGATTCCACACGAGGTTAACGAGGGGGCGTGGCACACGGAAGGAGCGGATGATCGGGGCAGGACAATTACTATCTGAAACTGCATGATCATCAAATCAAAGCAAACTTGTGGGTTTTTGAAAATTTTCTTGTGGTACTGGAAAAGTTTTGGAAAAGTCATGGAAATGTATTCTGCCAGAACTGGGGGAACCCTGTTCAATGCGAATCTAGCACAAATCTATGTCATCTATGGGTTACAGTGTCACAAATGACACTAAATTGGTAGGTTCCATGGCAATACAGGCTCACAGGATCTCCTGACAGGTCGATTTGGGGCGGGTGTTAAAAAAAAGCCGACCCTCGCAACACTACTGTCCAGCAAAAGCCCTGTATGGCCACTGTTTGACAATTTTGACTCTAGGTTACTCTAAGTGAAATATTCTCCTCTGTTGACTGATAGCGTTTGATATCTAATTCACTAATGACATGACATTTTATGAAGTCATCTGTTTAACTAGTATTTATATTTATACTATTTAACATTTGTGTTTATGACGGTCATTCGAATGGATTAATTTTAACAGCATAATGCTGATAGCTAGATAACTAACCTCATTGTTAATTGTGAATATAAAGTGACGTTAGTTTGTTTCTTGTTGACACTGACACTGACATATTTGCTTTGCTGACAACAAGTCCATTTAAAACATTTGACCATTCATTGATGGCTTTGCAAAAATAAGTTACCTATTTGTGGTGCAATCATCCATAGTGTCTCACTGTGCTGTTTTAGGTTTATTTTGTAAAGCAGCTTTCTGTGAAAATGCATTTTTCAAGCTCCTAAAATAGTGGATTTTTGTAAATGTGCGTTTTTCACTGGACAGCGATGATATGCAGAATTACGTTTCAGCGTCACTCAGACAGGATTCAGCATGTGGCTCACAAGAATTACTAAAACTATAAAGTTTTATAGTTTTATGGAGTGGTATAATGTGTCGCTGAGGTAAAAACAGCTAGAAAAATAGTAATCTTAACGAATGGGACATTTGTAATTGCAGGCAAACCGTACCTGACAAACTGGTGCCACCCATGGATTCCGCAGCTGCAGCCAGGACTCTTGCGAAGTTGGTGTCAGTCATGAAAGAGCCATCGGAGGAGCTGATGATGCTGGTGCGCGCGCTGGGCACGTTGCTATCGGTGACAGAGCCCCACCCATTCCAGAGCGAGTCTTCCCATTCGCTGCAGCAAGAAGAGGGCGTGCTCCTCAGTGCCACTCGCCTCGCGACGGGATGGTGCGACCTGCCCGTGTCCTCGTGAGTGTCCTCGGTGTCCAGGTCAGACATCAGGGGCCCGCAGATGTAGCCAAAGGTGGGTGTCGGTGTAAAAGGGCGGGGCAGGGACACGGGGCTCTCTGACAGGATCCTGAAAACAAAGGGGGACGTGCGTTAAAATGATTGTGATGCAACTGCTGAAATTCCACCACACACCAGCAGGGGAAGTTCAGTAACACACAGGGCATGACTGGCAGCCAATAACCACCCAGTTATTATTATTAGAAGATACTGCGGCCAACTGACTGACCTCTATTGCCTAAGTTTCCTATTTTCCTAGGGGCGGGGCCACAGGGGTCACTGACCCCAGCTGAAAACTGATTGGCCTCTGGAGTGCCGCCTCCCCTATCACTCACTGATTCAAAACATATCATTGGTTAATGATAAGGCTGGCCCCTCTTACGTTGCTCACCCGAAAATAACTCCTCAAATCGGCCCTACATTTTCCCCTTACTAAACCTTAAGGAGTATATCTCTGTACCCTTGTCTCCTGTGTCTCCTTGTCCACCACATGATGTACAAAATATTAATAAAACAAGTTACTTCCCTCATTTCACGTATTTTAAAGGTTTACAGGCATATGTTGGGGGTGTGGCCACTGGCAGTCTCTGGTAGGTGAGTTAGGTGACTTTGATTGGTTGCACAAGGCCCTTATTCTCCGTAACCATTTTACACTGCTGCATTGCCAGATTATCCTTGATGTAGCCATAGTACACTAATGCCTTATATTATTATCATTTTTCATTTTTAGCTTTAAACAAACACTGGAGACCTTTAAGTCTTCGTACAATGTCTAAATGACTATACTTCTTTACATTTACAAATTCAGGGACATTCCCCTCTACAACATATGCGATCCAGCATTAAAACTGCTAGATAAGAAACCATTACAACAAAGGCCGTATAGCTATTAAGCTAAGTACAGAGGGAAAACAAATGATGAGGCCTGTACACAAAATCCTGGTGATCGTACTCTTGATTAACCTAGCCTGCAAATGCGATCCTACCTCCGCCTCTCTATCTTGGGGCTCAGCTCCAGGTACTGCGACACCTCCTGGGCAGCGAGGGCCATGTCCTGGTGGTCGTCCACAGACATGCAGAAGGAGGCTGTGGACAGACGGCTATAAGGCCGGTTGGAGAACGAGAGGCAGTCGGAGGCAGCGGTAGAGGCAGGAGGCGCAGGGCACATGGAGAGCACCGAGGCACTGTCCTCCGTCAGCTTGGTGGAGCGGCTGGACCTGGAACAAGAATGATGTTCCTGATGGACCCAAACCGGCAAACTAGCACTGCCATCTAGATCTTATCACACAGACCCACGAGGCACCCTACGATTCTCATGTCCGACCACAAGGCTGACAGACTTCCTCCAGTCAAACTTACTGGCTTCTTTTACCCACAAATCACTGCACCTCCTGCTTCTCTAATGAGCCCTGTGGGTCACTTCTCCAGCACCTCCCGTCTCCATTAATGTAAATCCCTGGGTCTGTGTGGTTTCCTGCCGCCAGGCTTAAATCATGTTGGCGGTTAAAGGCTTATGAGGCTTTTATCTGTTTGGTGGTTATTGAATAAACAAACTGTCCGGTGGATAAGCATCGTATGGCCATCCGGCCTGAGCGGTCTAGCAGGAAGCCTGCATGCCTGCATCCTCGATCACCTCAGTGGGAGGAGAAAGTGTGCTCACCCCTCCTCTGAGCTCAGGCTGCGGGTCTCATCCAGTGGGCTCTGGGTCGCTGGTGGCAACATGTCGATCAGATGCACCGATGCAGAGTAATGCAGGAGTCTGGAAGAGCCTTCTAATAGGCCACCTGCATAAACAAGAGAAAGGAGCAAGATGGCATCGTGATGGAGAAAAACTGTCCATTATGGCAGCAGTTGGTGTCATAGTTTAGTAACGGACCTTTGATAAATAAGTGATGAGGTCAAAGTAGTGATGTCCAAATAAAGCTTCATGAACCATTTTCTGTATTTTTTGACCCCACTAAATGGCACTCTTGGTTTGCGTTGGGGCACAAATTGAGCCCTTTTCTTAATAAAGAGCACCATCTAGTGGTGTCTGGAAATACAGCAAATGTTGTGTCTTTGAACTAGGTACTGAACTACTTCACTAAAATTATTCTGGTCTGATATATCATCCAAGCATCTTCTGCACCACTCATCTAGTGCAGGGCCCATGTGAGCTTGAGCCTGTCCTAGAAAACATAGAGAATGGCCTGAGGAACCTGGATGGGGTGTCGCTTCTTCATAGAGGGTATATATATACGTTATGGGCATTTGACAGTTAGCAGTTCACCTACCAGTATGTTTGAACCTGCAAAAGGCTCAGCCCTCCAATTCTAGCTGTAAGGCTACAAGAGTACCCACTGAACCACCATGCCACATATAATAGACTGGCTTTTGGATGAAATTTGGCTCACTTAAAACAACTAGAGACGGCCATGAAATGCATTGTTACCTGGCGTGTGATGGCTAAACCTCTGCAAATGGGCTTTGGGAGAGGTCTGCAGAGCCATCGACTGCTGCCGAATGGGCACCAGGGGGGCGCTGTTGACGGCGTGGAGCTCTGAAAGACAAGCCATGGAGGTCTTAGTCACCTTGTGGGTGGCCGATGCAGTCCCAGACTGACCGACCCCGAGTACATGGGTCCCCTCCCCATCACGGATCAGGCTCCCACCTCGCTTGTGACCCTTCTCCCGGGACTCCTTCAGCACTCCCATTCTGGGTTGGATGGGTAGGGCATGTTTCCATGGCAACGGCTGGCTCTCCTGGGTGATGGGAATTTTAAGCACAGGCTGAGAAAGCCCAGCTGTTTCAGGAGCCTGTGGACCTTGGTGGGCCACTTTGGGACGCTGAGCTGGGCTGTTGAACGTCTTGAGGCCGTTGGAGGTGAGGTCCACGTAGAAGGTTCCATACACCCCGCAGCTGTCAGACACAACGGGGACAGCGGTATCCAGAGGGATCGGGTCTTTCTTCTCAGTCACTGGCAGAGCTGGGATCAGGAGAAATGGAAAAATTTATCAGATACTGATGCAAGCACATGTAGGCAAATGAGCACTATGGTAATCAACAGCGACTGACATCAACTCACTGGCTTTCTGGAAGCTTGGGCTGTCCTTACTCTGGACCCACAGGCTGTGGTACTGTTCAGTATTCTGAGGGGATTTCCAGATACCTGGCATCCATGGTGAGTCTGGGGCGGCCATTCTACAGAGCGCCCATCACAGGAGGGAACGTTGGTCGTCAATAACCAGTTCAGTCTAGCTTTCCTATCAAACTCGACAACGTGTCACAATAACTTCAACAATCCGGCTATCACCCTTACATGTAAAATATTATTAGCTACATTACAAACAAACGAAAGCTGTGTAAGTCTTAATTAGCTTTTAGCGGTTAGATGCTTCAATGTTTCAGGGTTCCAGTTTCACTGGAGAGCAGGATTCCAGTATACATTGCATTTAGTATATGTAGACAGCACTGAAATCTCCAATGTATTACAAACCTGTGCTTTATGATGAGGTCCTCAGTGGCCAGCCGGTAAAGTCCTGTCAGTGAAGAGATAAAAATAACTGATCAACAATGAGGAGAACTGAGCGAGGCTATAGCTACTACACTTCATCAGCTACTTCCATTATACTCAGCTGCAAACATACAGAATTCCATGTATATTTTATCTTGTAAACATTTTATTGTAAATAAACCTGAATCAGATAGTGATAAACAAAGACCTAAATTATATTAAAATTAATTAATCTAGTATCTATTTCATTAAGTATAAAGGTACTCTGAAAGATGGCTTTGAATGTGTGAAATATAAATCTGTGGAGACACAATGATCACCTGCAGATTTGCGGTGTCTGGCTCTCAGGTGGGTGGGCCTTGTATGCCGACGGTACAAGCAGACCACCGTAACCATCAGGATGCACCACAAGAGGGCGCCAATACCACCGATGAACACTGGGTCCCGAACTAGTGCCAAGGCCCGCGTCAGGACGTCAGAGTCATTCCGGTGAGGGATCAGGGAGCGCTGGGGCTCTGGAGGAGAGAGGCAGTGTAGGGGTGAGTCGAGTCTGACGCCTAAGCGTGTCCCCTGCCCACTGCATCTTGCCATGGGTGATTTTTTAATGTGGGAAGCATAAAAGTGGCCAAAATTCATACAGAGGGGCCAACTTTATCATTAACCATGAATGTGTTTTGAGTCAGTAAGTGACAGTAGAGGGAGCAGTCGGGGCACCAATCAGCTTTCACCGGGGACAGTGCCCTGTGGCCCCACCCCTGTATATGCCCCCATATCCTAGGATCGCCAAATCCCACGGTGGGTTCCTGGTGTCACTGACCTATGGTGAGCTGCTTTGGATCACTCTGCACTCCTACTCCAGCCCCATTCACGGCAGCCACTCTGACCCAGTACTGCTTCCCCGGCTCAAAGGTGGTAATCTCGAGGCTGTGGGTGGCGCTGTTCACCGTCCAGTTGAGGGATTTCTGACCCTCTGGCTGCACACACCACACCTGGAAAGAAAAGCAGAAATAACGCTGATTAGTCTGATGGCTACATTTCACCAAGACAGAACATCACTGTGACATCATGAGCGACAGCAAAGCATTCACCTGGTAGCCCTGAATGATCCCATTGTGGGATTCCTGTGGAGGCGGATCCCAGCTAATTCGGATGGTATTGTTTCTGTCCAAGGCCATCGTCACAGCGACTCCACCAGGGGGTGAGCTAGGCACTAGAAGAGCATCACACGCTCACTGGACCACATATACCCTGTCGGCACCTGAACTAGATCTCCTTGCCCGCTTGTTCCTTAAGCTTCTCCTCCACTCAAACCATGCAGTGACTGCCTCAGTCTAGTAATCAACCACACACTTGGCCAAAGAATTCATGAAGATGCTCATGTGTGCTAAACTGTGATGTCTGATGGAGCCCCCACCTAGCTCTGGAACCCGAAGGTGCTTGGTGTTGCTCTCGCGGCCATACAGGTCGCTGCTGTAGGGCCGCACTTTGAACTCATACTTATATCCCCGTTTCAGGGGGCCAACCACGGCTTGCAGGTGAGGTAGGGGCACCCTCTTCGCCAGCCACTCGGAGCTGGCAGGGAGGAGAGAGCGGAAGAGGACCTCAAAGCCTTCCAGATGATGCAGCTGTGGCCAGGAAGGCTGTAGCTGTGGACACAAGGAAGAATGGTAACCTATTGAGAATATGTGACTTCAAAAATCAGCCTCTCACATTGTCCTGTTAAGTATCACTTGTACAAGATGGACTAAGCTATAAGGCTGGTTCAAAACATTTCCAAGATCTAAAAGCATTGGGACATTTCTCACCCTCCAGTGCAGTTGCAGTAGGCTGGAGGCAGGGGGCAGCACGCTCACATCCTCAAGGTCCACACGTAGAGCTGACAGCTCTCTGTGCAGGTCCCTCTCCCCAGGGCTCACCGCCTCTGTAGGAGGACCACACCATTTTTCAGTCGGGATGCTGCACTAACAGAACCCAACATCGCCAGAAAGGTGAGACTTAGCGTCAGCGGACTCACGTTGCACAGCCAGGAAGGCAGTGGCGGACGACTCGCCCACATCGTTGACGGCCGTGCAGGTGTACCGCCCTGCATCCTGGGCTGTCACGTAGTGGACTTGAAGACTTTGGTCTTGGTTCACTATGTACCTGATAAGACATCGACATCCAGTTAGTGGTGGACTGAGCAGGACCATTATAAGGACCTGTATGGTGCAATCATCCAGTCTGACCTCCCACTGGGCAGCGAGCTTTGGTCCCGGTTCCACTTCACTGATGGCAGCGGGTCTCCTTGGACCTGGCAGAAGAACTGTGCCACGTCCCCGATATTCACTGTTATGTCCTCGGGCTTCCGCAAGAATACTGGCTTTGCTGTGGGACATGGGTGATCAGCTTCGCTGGACAGCATTACAGCGAGTACTACACTTGAAAAAAGAGCAGCTTGACTTACCTAAAACCGACAGTCTGGCCCCTCTGCTCTCTCTCACCCCCACACTATTTGATGCCACACAGACATACACTCCAGTGTCATTCTTGTAAGCCGGCGCAATTACTAACTTCCCATTGTATACCTGCGCAAAGTGGAAAAAATGACAACTTCGGTCCGACAGTGTCCTCTGGTGGACATAGACTGATACAACATCGAATCTATCCGTTATTCTGTTTCAGTCCCCTGCAATGCAAGTCATTTTTCTGATAAATGGCAATTTCCTTGTCTTCAGAAAATCAATAAAACCCACAGAAAATGTTTTAACAAACTTTATTATGGCTAAAAACTGTTTCCTTATTTTCTTAGAGATTTTTCTTTCTAATAAGTTCAATACATATGGAATACATAAAAAGACACCCAACACAGTACTCTTTTTTTTCTGGGCCACCTTGACGACCGTTTTATTGCGTTTGATTTTCTTGGTGAGCGGAGGCTTTTAATTCGCTTTCTTACTGTGAAACGTTCATCCATGTCGCTAAGTAGGATCCCATCCTTCTTCCAAGTGACGTTGGGCTCTGGGTGACCAATAGGCGGGGTGCAGTTAAGGACGGCCATGTCTCCCACTGCCACATCCACATTGCTGGGCTGGCTGAGAAACTCATCGCGCAGAGCTGCAACATACAACCATCCGCCGGCTTATACTCCCATGTTGAAGGGCAGCACTATCCATGCTCCCCGCTAACAATTTTTCGTTGTTCTTATAATATAGTCCTGCCCGTCAAGCCTCTCGTGTTGTGCCGCAGTAGGTCAAAGCAGAGTCCAGGAAATAGAAGATCCTGATAGTTTGATTACCAGCAGAGCCTAAAGCGTCTACTGTGATATATCGCCTTGGGCTCAGTAAATTATACGATCTTATATTTCATATGACAAGAGTATTCTTATAACATAGAAAAGCTCCAGAAGACTCAATCACCGCATAACAGAGTACATTACTTCCCCAGTATACCATAGTAGGCCTATAGTTCGGCGTAGTTCCACAAGAGTAACACCTTAACTCTAGTAGGCTATAATACTCTGGGCATTTCCATATTGCTGAGTACTGCATTGGTTCAGGGGCGCCATAAGGGGGAGGAAAGCTAGGATTATTCCAAGGGCCCCTGAGTGACAGGGGCCATAAAAAATTAGGAAAATAACTGGATTGGTTTGGACTGGGGGCCCAAAATCTCTAGCAACGCCCCTGCATTGGTTAATGCCGAATTATTACTCTGTGGTGCCTGGCTGACTTAATGTAAACATTGTTTGTCTAATGATGTCCATTATATTGTGGAGATAGCAAAAACCATAAGGAAACGTTTATTCCGCTAAAGCACGAAGTCTCCGCCTGAAGCCTTTGGTCCTGATGATCAAATACATTTCCTTATATTTTACACTACAGAGGCATAAACGCTGATAATTAGCTGGTCATTCATGCTCTCAAGTTTACATAAAATTCGTAAAGTGGAATAGTCAAGTCCATGGCCGACTCAACACTGTTGTTTAATCGCTTAATCACTTGTGCGTGACTGAAATAAGCAAAATAAACAAAACTGAGGAAAAAGAAAGAAACTAATATAACTATCTGAAATAGTTCCGAAAAAGACTCATTACACAGCGAGGACATGAAAACTATGATTTGGGGATAAACAGAGCGTGATGTTGGTGGTGGGGGGGGGGGGTGTAATTATTGGTTTTTGCCCCTAGGGTGGTGGGGGGTGCCTACAAACATTTGACATTTAATCCCCCACTAATCTGCTACACAATCTTCATTCCTTGATTAACTCCTTTGTCTGGGTTCAAGCATTCCAGCTCCGGTTTCAAATATCCTTTCTCGGGCACTGTTAGAATCTGATTTTTGTTTCAGCCGAGCGCGATAAGGACACGGTTGTCGCGGCAACGGCCGTCATCTTAAAGCGCCGCCGCCAGCCGCGTGACTGTCGCTAGTTTACAGCGCGAGCCTTCGTCTTACCGGCGATGTGCAACGAGGCGTTGCGACTGACGGCTTTGCCCGCGCTGTTCCGGGCCACGCAAGTGTAGACGCCCTCCTGGGACTGACCCCGCCTCCCGGGGACCAGGCTGAGGAAGAAGAGGCTGCCCTCCGGCAGAACCACGGGCTGCGATTGGCCATCCTGCTTGTCCGTCTCCACCGGCAGCCCGTTGCGGTACCACTCGATGGTGGGCTCCGGGAAGCCCTCCGCCCGGCAGGACAGCGTGGCGGGACTGTGAACCTTCACCACCACGTCGGACGGGTGGTGCACGATGCGCGGCGGGGTTTCCCAAGAGCGAGCCTTTAAGCCTGGAACGCAGAAGGTCGCCAGCCGGACAGTTAATAGAGGATCCTCCTGTGATCATGATGATTATGGTAGTCATCCTGAACATTAGCAATTTTCTCAGTAAGTAGCGGTAATGATGTGTAATTATCAGCCTAATACACTAAATCATAATCCCCTGAAGTGAGCAAAAATCAATAGAGCCTTCAATGCTTAAAATGAAGGACAATAGGAATAGCAACAATATAATTTTCTCTGGCAGACTGTCATAGTTTTATCTCCAGTTAATTTCCTGGCCCCAGGGAATAGTAAAAAGCCACAGACCAGTACAGGAGAGCAGACAGCCAAAATTAAACAGACCAAACCTTATCATTATCTCCGTTGATACATATTTCACCATTCTTCCTTCACTGTTCCATTTTCCAACCAGTTATCTTGGTAAGGGTGGAGTCCTTGTTTTCAGGTTTATTTCATAAACGGAATACATACTTAAACACTAGTCCCCAGTTCCTGACACAATACAAGTTACTTCTGACAGCTGACACCTAAACTAACTTTCATCTAAGGAAGCTGCTTAGATTTCCCATGATGCCATGCGGCACAACAAAGTCACAACAGAGTTAGAGCAACCCAATCACCTAGACCAAACAGCAAGGCAGCATCAAAAAAAAAAAGTCACACGTGACAAATTCATTAAATTATACTAATATCAGCATACTGGAGTACTCAGACTGCAGCCTGTTATAAACATTAAATCCATGCCACTGTCACACTCTCAAAAGCAACCGGATGCGTTTATTTTATAGGAAGAAAAACACAGGAAGGCACCACTGCACAGGTTAAAAACAGATAAGGATGTACAGAAGACCAGGGTATGGAGGTAAAATCACACTCCTTTCCTTTAATTGCCTGACATACTGGATTCATAAAAACAGCCTGGCAGCCTCCAGAGAGGAAGAATATTGTGGTGGTTGTGATGAGGGTTCTGCCCCACCCTGTACCAAACAAAGACCTCTGTACCCAAATACATACCAAACATCGAGAGGAAATCCTGTCACCTGGACACAGCGTCACAACTACAATTGGATCCCCTGACAATGTACCCATTGTCCAGAGATGTCATAGTTTGACAGAGACGTGCTACTTGAGCAGTTACTCACAGCTCACAGGGCTGGACTGGGATTAAAAATTGGCCCTGGACTTTAGGATCCCCCATAATAAATTTTGCCGAGCAGTCTAGTTTCGATACATTTTGCTGGCCCATAAACCCATTGGCCTGCTGGGAAAATGCCCAGTACGCCAGATGGCCAGTACTGAAAGCCGGAATGTCATGACTGTTCGGTCTAACAGTGCCCCAGTGAAGGCCTACATGCGGAATCCGAGGTGTATCTCCATAGATATACAGTACCAAGAATTTAGTTGGCCCTCGTTTCCGCTCATTAGTCAGAGAGCTGTCAGCCCTTCTTGGTACATGGCGTTCTGCAGATTGTTTTGGAGAGAATTCTCTGTATCCAAGTTGGTAAAAGCACGTTTACGATGCAGATGTTTGGAATGTGATAAAGGTCACATTCTTGGCAAAAGTCACATCCTAAAAAAATCGGTCTATTGTCTTTGGAAGTAAAATTTCCTGAATATTGAGAACAAAAAGTAGATAAACAATTGAACAGAATAAAGAATACCAAAAACGAAACGATTGCTTCTAAAATATGAAAGGAAAATGTACTATCGGAGGAAAATAAAACTTGAATTTGATGAACAGGCGAAATGTCCACGGTCAATAATTTAATTTGCTTTCCGCTACGGAAACGTTTATAGGCTACATACCGACAAATTCTGTGCAGTTTAAAAAGCATCTGCTAGGGTCAGACATGTCATTCTCCTTATAGGCTAATATGAAACTGAACTTGAAAGTTAAAAAAAAAGTCATTAAAGAATTCACGCGACATAGCTCTAAACAACGGAGAAAGTTTAAACCCAAAACTGAAGCATTAAAAAATGATGGTGTAGGCCAATACTGGCCACTTTTTGTACAATGCGAAACATAAACAGACTAATAGTCACACCGGTTAAATCAAAAACAGGATATGGGTCTTGCTGTAAATGATCTTGATTATCATGATTATCACTGCCGCTGCGGAGCGCTGAAAATGCATTAGCCGAACAATAGCATACGTACTGTCAATGGAGCAGCCTATCTGTGTTTCGCATTGTAGGCCAGAAAGAGCACTTTCCAGTTATACTTCATAGAAAATAACATGTAACATGACAATAACAGGATGCGAATCATTTAAGGAGCAGTTAGCGGAAAACTTGTCAGGATTCAGACGTTAACAACAGGAATTTCTGCTACTACTAGCTAGGCTACTGCTACATAATTCATCATCATTATATTCATAATCCCTTTTTTTTTGCCCCCCCCCCCCCAAAAAAAAAAATGTTTTTTAGCCTCCCCCCAAATAAATGTGTATTTATTGGCTTAAGTCATTAATATCTTTTAATATGTACGTTTTCCCTACCCCCTCCCTCCCCAGTAAAGCCCCCCCATCCTCTTATGTCTAACTACACCCATCTCCAAATCGCAAAATTTCAGTACTTCAGGGATTCGACAAAATATTCCACGAAAAAGCGAATAGCATGCCTATTCTATCTCGCGACGTGTTTCTTCCCTAATAATAGGCTTATTATCTATACACAAATTACACAAGCTAAGGTGTCTGCAATATTGTCATTGTAAGTCACAATAAATTATTTAATAACAGTCGATAAATTTATTCGGGATTGCTTTGAGGAAGAATAATTACAAGTTATTGTTTAATGCGACAATAATCCCACTGCAGTTGAAATAATAGACTAAAATATGCTACTACGTTGCAACGACGGAGCCATAGGAAAGTATACATAGGCCTATACAAAGTTGCAATAAGTTAAATAAATCGACATGTTACAAAAGACATAAGATAATTCAAGATCTCAAGGTGTTAAAATAAAAAAAAAATATAAATTAAGCTATTCTTACCTTGAATAATGATGGAAAATCCATATAATACACAGAGTCTCGGAAGCAATTGTCCCAACATAATTAATTTGCAATTTAAAGTAATAAACGTCGGTTAAGTGATGATTTACTAAACGCCCCGGACAACCATCTGTCGCGGGCTATTGATGTGTGGTACCTTTCTGGTGCTATTCTGAATAGCCACCGGCGTTTTCCTCACTCAGCCTCCACATTACAAACTTGTCTCCACATCTTTTAATAAATCACTTTTGCTTCTCCGCCAGTAGGATAACGGACCAGGAATGTGATCGGTCTTCAAATTTTGATCACCCTCCAAATTCAAGAAAGCGACATCCAGGTTTGGGACACTCCCACTTTACTGTGACTCGACCTAAGGGACATGCTAGCACACCCCCACGTCCAGAATTACTAATCCTCAAACTAGCAGGACTGTAGGCTATGTAACAAACCATTTCCTTATTTCCGGTGTCTCCTATATTCCAAACCTATAACTTTTTACATCTGTAGCATGTGCTTGATTTAATAACATGATTAAATCTGCCAGCATACTACATTTTAACGCAGATATTATCAGCACAAGTTTTTGGTTTTATTTAACCCAAAATTGAAGAGATGAAAATCCCTATTTAATATAAAAAAGAGCAACACAATTTCAATAAATCCGCAAGTGCCAACAAAGTACTACCAAAGTATTTCGATAACAAACAAGTATAGTTCGACTGAAAACGATTTTGCCGCCACTTTCCCCATTTTTAAAAGTGAATAAACAAAGTAACGAGCGGCCTGAAATGCATTTCCGAATGTTTGGTCGTGACAAGCGAGTACGGCTCGTGGAAATAGTAGCTTTTGTTAGTCCTAAAACAATTGCTGGAAATACCATGATCCTGTCTTGCAGGCGACTGGGACTTTAAGGTCCTGTGAAACATTTGTTGAGATATGACACTGAAGAAGCAGTTGAGAATTTGAGGTGGGAGCACAGCATTTGTGATAGATAGATAGACAGATAGATAGACAGATAGATAGATAGATAGATAGATAGATAGATAGATAGATAGATAGATAGATAGATAGATAGTAGAAAAAGTTTAAAATTGAGAAGGTCAAGGAAATCAAATGTTACAAAGTTTTGACAGTAGGACTGCATTTGATGACTCTTTTCCATTTAAACAGATATTAGTGTTACTGCTGCAGGGCCAGAATCTGTGAGTCAGAGCTTTCAACTTCTGCTGCTTTTGCAAAGTGATACATTACAGAGTTAAAACCTAGAGTGAAATTAGAGTGTAACTGTCTGGGCTATTGGTTGCTTATCCCAATTACCCAAGTGCCTGTGTGCACAGAAAACACAGAGCTGTGACAAACCCACCGGCCAGTTCATTCACCCTAAAAAGACACATAAATAAACTGTTGTTTAGTGAACTGGGCATTGTGTTAGCAAAAAGGGCCATTCCCAGTGACGGATGCCAATATTGATCCAACAACTTAGGTTGGATGGCTGCAACACTGGGCAGCTTTCAGTGACTAACAAAAGGCACAGAGATGGTGAGAGACAGGTCCCCCTAAACATAGGCCATGAAGATCAGTACGTATTTGGATTGGGCTGAGAGGGGGGGGGGTGTCACTACACTTTACAATAAGCCTCTTTCGAGTCTCAGGGTAAGAATTTCAAGAACTTCATATCAGGGGTGACCTGGAAGATGTATATTGAAAATGTGTAATTAAATTAGTAATGATCTGTTTTAGAAAGAGTCTTTTAGGAGCTACATAAGCTAAAGAGGTTTACAGAGAGGGACTATAAAATCATGGGACAGTGTTTATAGTGAATAAGAGTGAACCTATTCATCCCAATGAGATATAATGTAGACTAGCCGCCAAAACTGGAGAAACACTTTCAATTTTTCAAATTTTCCAGCACTTAATTAAACTTTTCCTCCAGTTACTTATTTAATCATCCAATGTATGGTATTTTTCCCATTCTTTGATTGTTTATAAACATTACCACAAATATTTGTGTAATCATTTTGAAAGAGTAATGCCAAAAATGCTAGGTGTTTCCACAATTTTGGCCACAAGTGTGTGTCTTTCAAACAAAATCGTTCTTCATTCAAATTACTCTGACGAAAATTGATTGAAAGTATGAGATGCCGCATGGATAAACAGAAACAATCACCTTAGTGTTAAGTCTCATTAATGCACCAGCCCATCTGTCCAGACCGAGTTCTAACTCACTCCTTGCCCACTGACTCTCACACTTTTGTTCCTAGAGACTGGAGACTTCAAAGGTATAGGTTTAGGGTTCAGATCAAGAGTTTAAGGTCAGAGGCCACTCGCTCCTGGCCTCAGTCAATTCACAGGCCTTCAATTGTTCAGCAACAGTGTTAAACTCATATTTCAAACTCTGAGATTAGTTTAAAACCTCAAATAAGCACACAGCAATGACACAATAAATGACTAAATAGAAGAGGGAGATCATCCATTGTCAGCTACAAACAACAAAAATATAATCATTCTTTAAACAGGAAATTGTTGCATTTCATCAAATAACAAGTCCTGCCACAGCCACCTATTTCTTATTAAAATTCATGCTTGCAAATAAGTGCTTTACAATCTGGCTTAATTAACTGTAATATATTTTAAATTGTACAGTCAATAGAAATTTAACAAGAGAATCAACAAGATTCAATTAATAAATGATGAATCAATTAATAAATGAAACAATTAATGATGGTATTGCTGTAGAAAAAAATTAATCAATTTTAGTTGCCATCTCAGACATGAAAAAATATAATTCAAGGACATTTCAAAGACTGGAAGATTGACTGCAAGAAATTTGATGTAGAAATTTGCCTCCTTTATAAATTAACTTAATTTTGGCATTTCAAATTCTGTTTTTCCTAGATTTGTACAGGTAGACAATTCTTTTAAAGTCCACTACAAAAAAAGAAAATGTGTTAATTAAACGTATAAAAATATTTTTTAAAACAATTTGTTTGGTTTTTTTTTGAAAAAACACATGGAACATTTGCAAAATCTTTTATGTATATAATTTCTTACTTTTTTCACTTACCAAGATGTCTTTTTGGACACCCCATAATATCCTCCAGTGGAACATGCCCTAATCCTGAGTCATGTGTACCCTGCACCCTACAACCCCAAAATGGAAAGCTGCACAGGTCTGAGATCAGAAGAGACCATTTCATCTCCAGATGAGATCCTCAATGAGAGGCACAGAGATAGACTCACCTTTCCTCCCGTGGGGCCTGGGTCTCTGGGGATGATGATGATGATGATGATGATGATGGTGATTAGCGTGAGTCGCTCCCTGTAGCCCCGACGACCTCCCCAGCAAGTCCCGCGGACGATCAGGTGGGCAGGTACAGCGGCACCAGCAGCGGGGCGAGCCCTGTGCCCAGGTGATCGCCCAGCACAGCCACAGCAGCCAGACACTGAGCCGCATGGTGGGCGCTGTTCCGGAAGCTTCCGCTGAGCTTCAGTGGCACGCCAGACGACCCATGCCCACCGAGTGAGCCGAGCTGAGCTCTGCTGCTCTCTCACCCACAACTCCCGGACCTCCCTGCGCTAAATTATTTGTAGATTGTTATAAAGAATGTTTTTTTTATTCTTCAACTCTCTTTTGTGTTTTTCTTTCCCTCCCTCTTTCTCTTCACGCTCCCTCCACCTCTTGCTCTCTCTCTCCCACCTCTTTTCTCTCGCTCTCTTTTTTCTTTTGCGAAAAGAAGTTGGGGGGGGTAACAATGATTGAAAAACAAGTTTCGGGCACCATGCTGTGTGCAGAGCCGGGGGACGGCGACCGAGGGGGTCCCATCCCCTACAACAACATCTGTGTCATTCATTCTGCACGGAGCAGGGGGAGAAAACGAGGCCAGCAAGGGGTAAAGAAGAGAGGCCCGATTCTCTGAGTGCCCATTAATCAGCTGTCTGCCAGCCTACTGATCAGATCTTTCGTGATGACAGCTTACACTTACGTGAAACATTGTGCATTAAATTTGGACATAACCTGAAGCTGGTGAGCTTTATTAGAGTCTCATTTGCCAAAAAGAGTCATGGTACAAGTTTTCATCCAACGTGACATACATTTCTTGTTTGCGAAAGCAGGGTCAGGCTGTGCCAGGAGCGATTGAGGATTAAGGGCGTTGTTCAGTGGTGCAACAGTGATGTCATTCTGTTAGCCTTGGGATTTGAACCAACAACCTTCTGTTCACAGGCACAAAACCCTAACCCTCAGAGTCAGAAACCACCCCGGCAGTGTGAGGCATTTTCTCTCTTACTTCCATGTACTCGCATACACTTCAACATCTCGCTCTCTCTCTCTGACAAACATTAACACCTCAGAGGATTTGTACCGTGAAACAAAACCGACCAAGCCCTGCTGTCATTCTCCATTCCTCTCCTGGGGGTGGTCCTCTCCTCTGTCCCAGAATAAGAAAAACAATCATACTTGTATCAAGAGGCAAAGGTGTTGATGTCTCGCAAAACGGGATTATTACAGCGAGCTATGTGTGTGTCTGGGGGCTGAGCAGCTCATCTCTTTGTCAGAGCGGAGACAATTCATTTGAGATGGTGACAATTACAATTATTAGGACCCGTGGCGAAATACATCATCCCTTGTTGAACATGAAGTGAATGGATAAAAAAAGCCCCCCTGCATCTTTTACAACCCTGCATCTCACCCCCCAACACCCCCCTACTTTTTGCTGCTGGGCTGCCTACACTATGGGCCTCATGCATCATCTTGGCTAGGCAAACAAAAGTTAGAAAGCAGCCTGTCTTGTACTCGCTGTCCCCGACGGCTCCCTCCTCCGTCGCCCCGGCCGGAAGAGTATTGAGGCTCCGCAGACCCACGCTGGGCCCTGATGGGCGTTTCATCGCATGTGCCAGCAGGCTAATTTTCGGCCTTGCCCTGCTCTGAGGAGGGTCACGAGAGATCATGTGCCGGTGAGGGCAGAACGGCACAGGGTTCCGTGCGGAGCGGGACGGTCGGGCTGCTGCCTTGTCACTCCCCGGCTGTAGGTGCCATCTTTAAATCCCGTCACCCAGGAAAACAGGTCTGTGGACCAGTTCTGTGTGGGTATACTGCAAACCACTGCTTTAAACTGTTATTTTTGTTTACTGTATTTTAATATTTTATTCTTTAATTTCTTCCACTTTTAGAATAATAGATAATGAGACAAACTATTAAAAAAATATTTTTATTTTTTATTGATGTCAAATTTTTATTAACATACAGTATAAACCTTATAAGCAGAAAAGATCAAGTAAATAAAGTCAATGGATTAAAGAGTGAGATTATACATGACTGCATAAACTGAGCGCTGATTTAAATAGGAAACATTATACAGTTATTCGACAGCATAGTCATTCTCATAAAATTCAATTTT